TTTTGTACAGATAAAAATCTAACCTTTTTTCTATGATAAGAAATTTTCTGTATTTTGCATCAGGGGCACCGGGCGAAAACATGAAAATGCAACAAACGAACCACTTTGTGGTAGATTGTATTTTCGAGTTTTCATCTAAGGCGCCCAATTAATTTTTGTACTTTGTTGGCTTTCATGTGGCACAAATCACCCACTATAAAATTTAGTGCAAAAATTTATTGAAGGGCATTAGTAACAATCTACTCTATGGAGGTTGAGACCGGTGTCCCTCCATTACAAATAGATAAGACAGAAGCTGTCCTTTTCAAACTATGTACATGTTAGAAAAAAATTAGAATAACTATTCAGAATAAGATTTTTTTGAGACTTTATTTATTATATTGCTTTATCCAAGATTAAGGACATTTTCAATCAATACATTTATTATCATTTATAACTTTAAATGAAAGTCCCATCCCTTTAATAATAATGTCATAACTTTAACTCTTTAAATACAGAAATATTATAAGTCTCATCATATCAATATACTAAGATATACATGTATGCACATAACATTAATAATTCCCAGTTTCTATTAAATAAATATGAAATCCTTACATTAACATTAACATTGGTACTAATGGATAGAATTCAAAATCTAGTAGAAAGAAAACTATAATGTATAAACTTTATTATAGATACTATTATTAGCCAGCTAACACTGTGTATAAACATCTATACTCAGTACATGTACATAAATCGATACATATATAATAATTTATAAATTTGAATGCAAGTCTCATCAATCATAACTGTAAGTCTTTAAATATATAAATACACATTATATCCATATACTAAGATACACATGTATGCACATTACATTAGTAATTCCCGGTTTCCATTTAAAATAAATATAACATCCTATTAACATTGGTACTTGGATGGAATTCATAATCTTGTAGAAAGAAAACTATAATGTATAGTTAAAAGTATAAAAATCTCAAATAGTCTATATCATATAATAAAGATTGAGTTGTGTGAGTGTCTAAACATTAAATGCATATCTCTTACAGTAACAAATACTGTCCCTCCTAACCTTCCATTAGACTTTACTATATAAATAACTGCATATATATCAAGTGTTTAAAATTGATAACTTCAGGATATTATCCTTTCTCTGTTTTAATATATGGACATGAGCACATATAAGCATAGCTTTAATGTTCTACCTTTCATTTTTACCAAAGGTTATTTTATTATTAACAATCTATATACAAACACATAGAAAATAATAATTAGCTTCACATAGTGATAAGAATATTCCTGTAGCAGAATACCTGTAGGTATGTAGGCCTACTTACTGTACAAACTAGAAAAACCAGTCTTAGGTATATAAAGCCAGTGTAAAAATCTATCAATATTCACTCAACAGGGCCTCTATGCTTTTGATAACCTTACAACTTGTTTTTTTACTTGTATGAGACCTCAGACGCCCCTCTGCATTATTTTGAGGCTAGAGCTGGCACCTTAGGAACAATACCTTGAGTAAGAAGCTCAATTATATTATACTTAGAATATATTATAAAATGATAGCACAATGTTATAAAATGCTGTGACTTACGGTGGGCTATCTAGTTGAAAAGGCTTGACAGTCATAACAATACACCGGCATTGGTGGCTTAAAGTCTCTTCATGTTCCTCATCATGTGCTAATACAACAGCTTCCTGGGCCGGTGAGCATTTTTGTGTGATCTAAAATAATTACCAGTGAAATTCCGACTATGTATAATGAGTTGATGCTTTTTTTCATTTTTTATTTCATAACACATTATGTCATAGATTTCACAAAAGTTTATGTCTGTTTGTTCTAAGTTTATCTTTTGAGATGTAAGTTGTTTGTCGTTTGTCGTTGTCCACATTGTCTTTAAATGAACTAAACAGACAAAATTTTATAAAAATATCAGCTGAATTTTCTTTTTCTTTAGACTATAGATTGTATGGAGTAAATATTATATATATTTTTATATCAATTCAGAACATTGTTTCTAATTATTTAAAAATTTGTCTATTGGTATTTAGTATCTTTATCTCGTGTAATATTGACCTCATTTCAGGGTCAAAGTGCTGAAGCATTAATACTTACAAAGTATTGATAGAGATATATTTTGTTAACTTACTACTTTTTAAAAAGTCAACATTTTTTAAAGTTATTACTGTACATGATAGTTTTTTATCCAAAATAGAGTGATATCATGCTTATTTTTGTCTATGTCAAGTTGTGGTGGTACGTTATATATATTTCAAAAGATTGACTTTTATCTGGGTGATTTGCCAATAACCAATAATAAAGAAAAATATTAAAGATAAAATATAAAAATACTACCTATTATAAAGACTGTCACTCTCTTTTAAAAATTGAACGCTAATGATATATTCCGAACATATTTGTTGGAATGCCCGTGGATAACGTGGATTTTTTTTTACAATTTAAGCGATTTGTTTATGATGCGCTACCACCATTTACAATTGGAAGAACATAATCTCACTTTAAGCTAAATACAGATGGGTTTGAAATTATTGCTTTCAACAAAAAATCCACAAGAATGTCATTCTCATTTAACAACTGATTAAATCATTGATATATTAGAGAAGGTAATCATAAAAAGGCTAAAATAGAGTAGCAGTGATACTGTTATTGAGATGAAGAAATCGCTCTATTTGGATGTAACCTTAGACAAATGAAACCCGCCTTTTAGTTAATTTTACGTTTTTTATCTTTTTTCGTTTTTTATATTAGATTTTTTATTTTTTAAAAATGATTAAACTTATACAAGCTTACATCATTTAGTTTATACAGATTTATTTAAGTTCGATTTTTGTTAGAAGCTATAAGCTTATTGAAACACCCTCGAATCCGTTCCTGGAACCAACCAGTACTAAGCTGCTTGCTCAAGGAAACAACGGCTTGCTCCTGACAGGGTCTTAACCCACGCGGTCAGCAAATCTTTAGAGTACTAGTCCGACGCGTTAACCACTCCGCCACGCTGCCATTCAAGCTTGCATTATTTCACACAGTCATTATGGAAACGTCTTTTTTCAAATACAATGATCTCAATCTAATATATGTTTGCAATTATTTCCTTACTTACATTTTTGTTGACAGGTGTACTTTCTGTCTTTGAGTAATTTGAAAATGCCATCCTCGAGTGTTTCAGTTACTTCATTTTATATATGAGTATATCAGCAATCCTTCAAGTCTAGAAAATACAACATTCGTTCTACTTCTAGCATTACAAAAAGGTGACTTATTAAATATCACATTGTGATATCATTTTTTTTTCCAAACATACCTATAAATCAGATATGTTATGTAAATATATACAAAATACAAAGTATACCCTTTGGTAATAAATATCAAAATTGCAATGTGTATAACAAAATAACGACACGGAAAAAATCTAGTTATGAGTAATTGCTTGCAGGAATTTAGATTTTATCCCCGTCATTCATTTTCCTTTAATTGCAAGGTTTTCCCGGGAATATGTTTTGGATTTTATAAATGTTTAAGAATACGTATAATTTTTTTCATGTACTCCTCACGTGATTCATGACATCGATTTTGTTGATGTTGTCTATTTTTGGTTTCAACTCATTTTTGTTCACATGTGTCGGGACGGTCTTGCAAACATTTTTTCCTGGATAACTTACCAGAAAATTGTCGACAAACTACAGACTGCTTATACAACATAATTTCTATATCAGCGCCAGAGACATAAGGCCATAAGAAACAATGTCCGAGATAAAATGTTCACAGAGAAAGTTTGCCCCGGCCATGGATAGCTTATTTACACTTTCAATGCAATCCAATGGGCAATTTTTCAAAGAATAACATATTTTTGCCCTAGCAGCCATTGCCTGTTATTCAATATAACTTCGTAATTGGTGTCACAAAATTATTGTTTGAAATAGACCAACATTCTTTTTCAAAAAGTTTAAGAATTTCGATTTGAGATTTTTAATGTCAAAAAGGATACCGTGCAAAACACTACTGTGATACTTTACTACAATGGTTTTTATGTATATGTTGTTGTATTTCATTATGTAAACGATGTTATTTTTAAGTATAAATGAGATTGTTTCGCCATATATCTTTGAAATGTATACACCGATGTGCCTTGTTAACCCTGTGTTAATACAGTATACAATTAACCGAGCTTGATGTAATTTAATATATGCAAAATTAGAAATACGTACTGTTTATTAAAATCATAATTATGAGATATCGTGTATACTTTCCCCTCTGTTCTTACTTTACTGAAATCACATTCAACTTCTGTATTAGCTGAAACATACAAAAAAGAAATATATAATTGCATTGATACAAAAGTTGGCATGTAACTCATCTTGGCTTAATCATAAGTGATGGTTATCAGGTTTTTTTTTTTCTCAAAAATATCCCATTCATCCTACTTGTGATATAGCTTCTCTGTTTCGGTGAATGGAGATTCTGCATTTTCTCTTCATTGATTATTTGGAAAGTCGATATCTGAGTAATTCAAATCTAAAATGCCATACCTAATTTATAAAATCCACTCATTTGATAACCTGCCGTCCAGATGTCGTTGCAGGAAGAATATTCTGGTGAAGAACAACGCTCTTCATCCGTCCTGTCTTCGCAGTCAGGATAATCATCACAAACTAGCCTACTTGGAATACATCGCACTTTATCGCAGTGAAAAGATCCAATATGACAACTATCTATAATATGTGAGAATCGAAATATTACAAAGAGTTTATTATACAAAATTTAAAATACTATTTATCATCAACAATTTATTCCGTTGAAATATACGGGATTTTCCATGAGTGTGGGTTATTAATGAATCATGCAATATTTAGTACAATATAAAAGTCAAAACGTTGATAGCAATGTTCTATGTTGACTTGTGTATACACAACACTTACGTGTAGCCGGGAATAATTACACTTAAAATTAAAGTGAATAAGTGATAACGAAGAAAATTCGTCACCTGAGGGCATGTACGGATTAGGTAAGAAGTAAACCCGTTACTGTACTAATTTGACTGTATGTATACGTAATTGACAATGACCTACCACAGTCGTGTTCATCAGTCCCATCAATACAATGGATAAAGGCGTCACATCTCTGTTCTTCTGGAATACATTGTCCATTAGAACAGCGGTATTCCGAATTCAGGCAAAGTGGGTGATCTATAGATCCAAAATAATGATTGTTGCTCAATAAATATACCTTTTAATGTAAGCATGTAAATAAATATCAGTTCGTAACGAGTAATCAATTTAAGTTGTGTTCTTTATCTAGGATGAGGATCTATTTTTACAGGTTTCAGGTTTATGGAAGTACGTAAATAATTAATTCACAAAATTTACATACATGGATAACTTGTTATTTTGAAATCTATACGTTATCATCATCAATTAAATGCAGTATTGTTACTAACAAAATTTGAAAATGTGCAACATTTGTATATTGTGATAGTATTGTATTAATTTGCTGGTATGTTATGTGATCTTTTATGTGTTTTATGTGCATTTTTTTATGGTTTTACGTCACACCATAAAAATAAAGGTGATGTGAGGCATTTCCAGGTTTACTGGTGGAAAAAATACTTAAGGTGCCGTTCCATGGATTATTAGGCACGATTAGGCAATGTTTTATTTGAATAACACATTATTGACTTTAACATTTTTACATTATTCAGAAACGACAATACTAAATTTCATTTACTTACCACAGCTTTCGTCAGATGTGTCCGGACAGTCGGGAATAAAGTCACAAACTTGACTGATATGAATACAGCCTCCAGTTAAGCATTCAAAATGATATTGAGAACAGTTGGAATTCTGACCTATCATGAAAAATGAAAAAAAAGAATTACGTTTTCGATTGAGATTTGATTTGAAGCAGAACTGAAGAATGAGAAACGATTAAGACAAACAAAGAAATAAACTGTCACTTATTACTAACAACACATAATCATCCTTAAGCAGCTTTTGCAAATATGCATTTAAGCATACGGTACTTGATATTGTCTGCAATTTGTTCAATATAAACACTTTATTTTTATTGTTTTCCTTCCTTTTATTTATTGATTAAGAATCACTAACATTTATATTAGCATTTACCCTGACCCTGGGAACATTCTCTTATTTTATTGTTTACTCTTGTAGTTTGTTTGAAATTAAAGAAAGCAAACTGAATGAAGATAGTCTTTTATTGCATAATAAACAATGTATTGAAACAGGATCAACTTTCCCCGTTGACGACATTGCAAACATTTTCATCCTTGCCATTTCCAGTTTGTAAATACAGCTTTTGAAACGTCTAACAAAATTTTAAAATGTTGATGATTATTGACATTAAATGTGGTTATAGTTAAGTGGTAAATTAGATTTTAGAACAACGGTAAATAAGACAAAAAAGTTTAACGAACTGTTGATTGCACAGTTCTTCTCATCAGAGGCATCCATACAATCAATCACAACCACATCTGAATAATCAAAACCTCACATGACTTTCACGTGATAAGACAATAATTGCAAAAACCCAAGCTTATCATGTTGATAGCTTCCCGATAATTGGAAACATTGTGAGACGTTTCACCGATCGACAATGGGCGAAAAAAAACAAAAATTAAAGGCTCCTATTTTCATCTTGACATTAAAGGCCTCTACTCGGGTATAATCATAGTTGTTTAAAAATTTTATGCTCTGAAAATAAAACAATTCCACATATTAATATTTGATTTAACTGTGAACATTTAACATGATGAAGAAACTTATGCTCCAAATAATGGTCTTTATCCATCAAAACATACAAATCATGGAATGACACCAAAGTAAAGAGTACAATAAAAATTACAAAATATCGCCTAGCAAGAAACTTAACACCAATAACTTAGTTCTGGTTGTGTTACTTTCTATTAAATTGAACTGAAATAATGTTCGGACAACTAATGATCAATAAGTCAATAAGTAATTCCATGAAATGTATATTTATCCTCAAAGAAATAATATATAAGATGATGTCCATCTTTCTTTCTCTTTGTATTGCATAACGTCATTTGGGATACAGGTTTTTAGCAATAAAGTCAAATATCTTTTATGTCATACTATTTAAGTCGAAAGGGTATGTACTTAAAAGTAATATGAAAAGAAGATTATAAGAAATTGTTGCATTGCGCTTCAGGGAGTAAGAAAACCCGCCTCTGGTGGTTTACCTCTTGTGCAATTATTCTCGTCCGAAACATCCGCACAATCAACTTTTCCGTTACATTGATGTTCGTATGGTATAACGATTCCGTTATCACAAACAAATGGTGTTCCATGCCAATCAATGTTATTGCCTGTATCTTTAAGCTGGTATTTATCTTAAAGAAAACCGAAGGATACAATTTGTGGAGAACCTTATTTTTTTTATAATAGACAGAAAATAGACAGAAAATAATACAAAATGATACAGAATTTCAAACAATATTGTTTTTGTTTATTTTTCAGTGCAGAAAATCTCTGACAAGTAGTATTTTTCTCAGTCACATCTTTCAAAAAAGCCTACTTAATACAACAAAACTGCCTGCAAAAATGCATGTCCGCTTAACATTGTCAGAGACTTCAACAAGCATTCCACTTCATCTACTTTTGTGTCAGCTTAGGTGCATTACAATTACTTTTCTACACTTCTTAGTATTGAATTGGATGCACAATATATTATAAAAAGTACTTTTTTCATTTGACTATGAAAACATTGCTGTGAAGTTTATTAAAGCAAATTGAACGTGACTGCCATGAACGAAGCTTGTCAAAACAATTAAATATGGGCCGGTCTATGATGAGCACATTGTTTCAAAAACTGATAAAAGCAATAGAAATGTGTCATTATTCAAGATCAATTTATTTCCTGCCATATGTAGATATGTCATATTAGATCATGTATCTCACACTTACTGTCAACACTCATATCAAGTCCGTTCATGTTTTATTTATGTAAAACACTTGATACTATAAATAGTATTAGTGGTATACAGACCTTTCATTATGGACCATCTAACATTAGAACCACACAAACGATCTACGTAATTTTGGGCTCTTATTGTAACTGTTAATTGATATTTGGCAGGAAAGTCAACAAATCATAACTTATTGTCTAAAAGAAAGATTGATAGTAGAATGTGAATGTTCGTTTCGGCTTTTCCGATTGTGAATGTACACTTAATCAAAGAGGTTAACACTGAAGATACTCACAATCAAACAAACAAGGCTCATGACGTGTCCCTGGATCAGTTGTAAAACACCACAGGTAACCTTCAGAGTGTGGATCACGGCAAAAGTTTTGTGCTTCCTCAACATTTCTATCTGGAAACTGTGAATCGGAAAACTTCACGTGATCGTGAGGTGTTGTATCATTCCAATATTGACAAGACTTGCCGGTATATGTTTCATTATGTTTTCCTTCGTACGAAGAAAGAGTTGAGAAACACCTGTCTGATGCAGTTTCTACAAGCAGATTTATATGCAGTAAAACTAAATGTTAAAACTAGAAACTATAATCACTAATCTTATATATAGCTTTTAAATCTTACAATATCAAACCATTCCTATTCTTAATACCTTAATGCATTTATCTAGCTTTAATTTAGATCCGGACAAAACCATTCATCATTTTAGCAAAATTTTCAAAATATACATAACGAATAGTGCAGACGATGATCAGATGGCAGGGATGTGATAGCGTTTTCGATTTGTTTTTTAATTCTTTGTGTTTGTGTTCTTTTTCTTGAAAGTTCATCAAAAATCCATTAAACATACTAATAGAAGAATATATCGGCTTTCATAAGGCAGAACGCACGACAAGGAATGGAAGAGCCAATGAAACCCCACGATCAAGAGTGCAAATGTTTATAAACAACTCCATGCTTTTAGACTTCAATATAAATACAATTATTTGAATTTATGAAGTACAAAATATCCCACTTACCGAAAAAGAGACAATTTTCAATCTCTGTTTCAGGATCCGTTGTGCGGCACCAAAGAATACTCTCGCGAAACGGATCACGACAATAGTTTGACGCATCTGCGAGTGTCTCATCCGGGAACTGGGTTTTCTTAATGGTGTCGTCTCTCTTATGAGGATAGTCTGAGTCCCAGCGCTGACATGTTTTACCTGACGCTGTTTTACTCAATTTCCCAGCATAATTATGAGGATCAGACTCGTCGTTACCTGAATGATGCACACATGTATGTATTTAAGCATAATAAGACCATTCGTATAAGTTCTTTTCATTCCGTAATGCATTCATATACACTGTTTTGTGAGGTTGTACGTTGCACTTACACAGTATTGGTCATATGGCGACTTTCCAGGTATACTGGCGGGGGTAGACCTCAGGTGACCCTGTACATTATTTCAGTGATAAGTGGGCAACTGAGTAGAATCTTTGATGCAGCCGTCAGCTCGATAGCTTTTTCATATGTATAAACCGACGACACTTGCAAAGCTCGAATCAACGGGAGTGGCCAGCAAAGCGGTTTGAAAGCAACGACCTTAACCGCTCGGCCACGGAAGCCCCACATTTGTGCATACATACTTTATTTCCAATTGGGCGTTCATATATGCAACAATTGGTATCGTTTCGTTATGCAACTGTAAACTTTGCAAAGAATCAGATATTATTGATTGTACGATTAAATATATAATTATTGTTTTATATTTTTTCATTGCTGATTTCCCTTGGAACATAAGTATGTCATTAGTCGATTATGTAAAAAACAAACCTTGTGAAAGCACATTCTTCGAAAGGAACCATAGGATTTGTGGTATTAGCACCATATATACCCTTTTTGGGTTGGATCCCTGCAGTAGTTCTGAAGCTTTTTCAACGGAGTATTCTGGGAATTCAGACCTCCAGTGGAAAACGCGGACATCTTTCCAGAACTGACAAGGTAATCCTGATTTCGTCATGTTTATTGTTCCGTTATATTTATGAGGGTCAACATCAGGCAGAACTGACATAGAACAAAAAACATAACAGCAGAATTTATAAACGGACAAGAACTTATTAGACACAAATAATATCTTTTAGTCATCTTAGTTTAATTTTATGCTATTGCTTTTTTTATTAAAATCAAATACAATCTCATATGCATAATTATGTATACAAGACAAACAATTAAATTAAATTATTAAATTCAAAGTATTTATATGAATGTTGTAGTTGTTTATAAAAAGCACAAGAGTCGAAGTAGGGTAGTTGTAAGAAGTCAGCACTTCCTAAAATAATATAAAAGGTTTTTTTTTAGATAATTTGAATGAAGGTTACTATTTGAATTAAATTTAAAATTTTAAACAAAACAGTACTTAAACAGATTCTTTTTCCTTTCTTAAATGTGAAAAAAAATTGAATTTAAAAGTAAGTGATTTCTATACTCAAAATGAATCTAGTTAATCCTATTTAACGTTTATACTAAACCGAGAAAAACATAAAGTACGACAAACATTTACAATTGTACAAAATATTTTCACTAATCATTTTAATATTGCATAAGTATTCAATTAAAATAAACGTGTTTTTATACACTGTCCTTTGAACTTATAATGGTGTGAACTGATGATTAACGCATTTTGAATTTTCTGATAATGAATCAATTCTTCGCCGTATACCCACGGCCGAACCATTGACTTTTATCAGCCGTGGGAGTTTTCACCGGTTTCCAGTTGATTAAAGGTGTGTCAAAGACAACTTTTTCATTGGTTGCCTCACAATTTCATGAGGCGATTAAGACCAATCATAACGCTTGTTCTATTTGGTGAAACGCTAATTCTGAATAATAAAAATATAACTATTGTGCTCTCCGCTTGCGGAATAATTTAATTTGGAAATTGCTTTGCCTCTTATATTGGCAAGACACGTGAAATAAGTTTACACCGTGGGAGCTGCTATTTAGTTTCTTATAGTTGTTTACCTTTGCTGTCGAAGAATATAAATCTTGCTGAACACGATTTAAATGATCGATATTTTACGCACCTGTTGATGTATATCGAAGCAATTTGATTTAATTTACCCACTGTTGATTACACATTACATGCTATTCAACCGGGGGTATCTGACGATGGAATCAATTATTTCAATATGCGTTTACTTGCCACATGTTTCTATAACATTGCACTAACATATTGCGACATAAGCAAATTAGTTTTTCCTATGCCGCTATAGAAAATACTGTAAAACAGAAATTTTGAAATTACACTGTAGATACTTCTGAACAAGTACTTTTGCGTTTTGCGAAAAATCTGTAATTCGCGACAAAGAGCAACAAAAAAGAGAACCCCCAAATAAAGTACACCCTGCATTATCATAACTAAACAAAGGTAATGACTGTTTATTACTTATAGTTGTATCCGTTTTGCCTTCATCACAGACGAAATATTTGGCCAGTCCTCTCTCGCAGTCCTCAACTTCCCAAGTGTCATTGTAACGCCCAAGATGAAAGGACATACGTGTACAACTCCCTTTGGACGATGGTTCATCTCTATTCCTGCAAATATTTAGGTAACGCCATTAATCTGTAAATGATGTGGTCAAATACTTCCATAACAAATAAGTTTTTATGTTCAGATTACTAGAATAGAATACTAAATGTGTGTAGTGAATTGCTTAGCTTGAAATGAGCAATTATAATATGCGCAAAATTTATTACACTATGAGAGTGAATTATTTCTTAGTCTATTTCTAAAGAATAAATACTTTTTGTCAATGAAATAAAGAGAAGAAAATAGTTACCATGCCGCGAATGTTGAAGGCGAGCCGTTATCCCACATATGCTCAATTACACCTCTACCATTTCGTACCTTGTGTAAACCTGAAGTAGATGAATATCACGTGTAATCAAAAGTAATTACATGAGAAATAAAAACATAATTTTGACCTCATCAAAGTAGCGTATGGATAGAAATGAGAAATACATGCAGAAAGTCCAAAGGCTGATATCTAAATAATGTATGCTTTTCTTTCAAGAATATGTTTTTCAGTTCTTCTGAATATCAATTATTAAAATCGTTCACTAGAATAGATCAAGTAACTCAAAATAAAATAGCATTAAAATGAAATATAAGACAACTCTTGACAACCGCAACTATCCCTTCACTGTCGCAGAACAGCAGTTTTCAATCGCTTTTAAAACGTTTCAGAGACTAAAATTTCTTTAGAAGAAAATTCCTACACTGTATTTATGTGTTACTTATTGAAAAGAAAACCCGAATAATTTATATCTGTATAGATTAATTGATAAAATACAACAAAGCCTTTGACAAGATATTTGCTTCTAGTTTCTCTATTTTGATAAAATAGCTTTTTAACTGATCAAAGCATGAAATGAAGAATATTATCTAATGTAGTTATCATATATCTATGAGAGTGTGTTAACGAAAAGTGATATATTTTGGCTACTTGCCCGGTGCTTACCTATATGGGAGTAATAATACGGATCCGGGTCATCATACTTAAATATGGTATCAATTTTGTAGTTTACATCAACGTATCGAAAGTTTCTTAGCATTTGTTTTACCAGATACATTTCATCATAAGACGAAAAGGAAACAAGCCTTAACTTCCGTATCCAACACTCATAGCCGGCCGTGTTCCAAGATACAGTCGTACCAGAAAAAATACTGTAGCATTTGTTAAATGCTGTAGAACATGCTGGAATATAATAACATTAAAAAAGTCGATTTTTTAAATTATGAACAAAACCAATAAAAAAGCTCCCGAAAATAAATAAATAATAGTCTTATACGAGCCAAGAAAAACTCGCCTTTGAAAGCAAAGTGATAACCAGAATGTAAAAAAATGAAATACTAGAAAGTAAAGTAGAAGCCAGTCAACATATTACAAAATAGACAATTATCCATGCTCATAAGTACTATTTATAAAAGTCCGTTTATTCGAGTACCCTGTTTATACAACATCTTTTTTTTTAAATTGTCGAGTTATTTCAGTGGATTTCTTATTACAAATTCACGAATTGTCTTTAGTGTGCTTGTGAAATATTTACAGTTGGTAATATAAGTATATTACGTAACTTACATACTTTTTACAATCTGTACTCACTACTTTACTTCGTCATTTAACATATGTGTTTTATATGTAATTGTTTATTTAATTTTACCCATGAAATATGGTGCTATAGCAGTCAAGTATATTTAATATTTGTTAAAAATAGATATGAAATATAAATATGAAAGTGGACGGAGCAAAAAAATTATTTTATTTGAATGGAATTCTTTCGCCATTTTGTTTTATAAAATTTGGTAAAAAAAACATTTTATTTATTTTTTTTTTTTTTGTTATTTTTTCTTTTTTTTCTTTTTTGAAAACTATCTAGAATGATAAAAAATGGTCTAAGAAAATTAATCCGAACACCAACATCTTTATTTCAGTCATTAACGCTGTACATACGTTAAACGGTTGTTTGCGTGACGTCACAATGTAGCATCAATCAGCGCGTAAATTCAATACAGGATTGGAGCAGTAACTCTAGACGCTTGCAGAAATCTTGATCACAAAAAAGACAAATATGTTTTTTTCGACGATTATCATATTTTTTATTCTTTTTCGTTTATAAATCGGTGTGAAAAGATGAATTAGACGTTGTAAAGTTCACCCTTCCTGTTAAAAGGCGAGATTTTAGCATTTAATCATTCAAGCGTCTTATCCGTAATATACCGGAATACGGTATTTAGTGTGGTGCTCCAATCCCTTTTTTATAGTCTCACTCATAAATAATCAATATATAACTGCGAGCTGTACAATTGCAGCGGTGTAGCAAACAAGGGGAGTCGTAACCAATTTGCCTTTGATAATGAAATTGAATAAAAAGGTTATTTTTTCGTTTTTCGTCAAGTATGGTACACATTTTCACTCAACATGATAAAATGTCACATATTTTCACTCGCCGTCCTGGTTCGTGAAAATATGTGGCATTTTCACTCGTCGTCCCAGTTTGTGAAAATATGTGTCATTTAACATGTCTTGCGAAAATATACGAGGGGTGTCCAAGAATTACGTGGACTTTTGTTGTAACTCAAAAACTGCTGAAAATAATAACAATTAAAATTAACATGAACAAAATGCAACTTTATTGCATTAGTACAAGAAATTTCAAAGTTGTGCGGCAACTGGATCAGTGTTTGTGGGCAGGGTAATGAGACAAGGGGTAGCGGGTGCGGGGCAGTCCATTCCGACGTTACGACGTCATTCCGGTGGCGTCGCTAGTTGTTAATAAATGCGTGGCGTCGAATGTCAGTTTTTCTCAACATAGTCGCCGCCTAACTCAATACACCTATGGTGTCGATATATCCACTGGTCGTACACTGTAATAATAATAATAAAGCATACTATTTACTTTTGTTACGATAATAGTGTTAAAGACGGCGGTGATAATGCTGACGCCGTGTTATTATTATTATTCTTTTTATTATTATTATTATTATTATTATTATTATTATTATTGTGGGGTTTATTTTGTACGCAAAGACAATGTGCGTTAACAAGGGAAATAACCTATCATGCGCACTCCTTACTATAACAGTTTGAGTTCACGTTCTTAAAAGCTGAAGCGGATAAATTGCGTTTATAATAATAAATTGTGATTAGCTTAATTTCTAAAAATCATTTTTTTAAACACAAAATTATTGCTAACCCTTGAATAGTACTCAGCATTGCAACGCCTTCCAGATCTATGACGTCCTTGACTTTCTTAATTGATGCCGCAAAAACCGTTGACTTTTTCCCACGACCCTTGTCGTCTTGAATGTCCCCCCGGCCGTCTCAGCAAACAGGAGGTCTCACTTTTGCAGTCTCCAACATTTCCTGCCTCTGTGTTGGCGTCTTCCCAAGATTTTCACAAAACTTGATGATAGTCCGATGTTCCGCGTAATCCGTGGACGTCATTTTTTGTTAAATATCCAAGAGCAACGGTTGTCAGTTGTCCGCTTGTAAACAATAACGGAAACAGCTATGACGTCAAAATTTCAAACGAGCGTTTATATGACGTCAATGCATATGCTTACGACGTCGCGCCATTTTTTACGCATAAATACGCAAGATATACGAAAGTAAAGACAACTTATTAATACAAAATATTGGACTGCCCCGCCCTGCGCATACTGCGTTACTATAGCGACGTAAAATATAGAGAAGCAATGTTAGAAATTTAAAAATAATGGACATAATCATTAAGGATTGTGTATTAATTTGTTGAAAAAATGCATTAAAAAATAAAAAAGTTATAGCAAAAGTCCACGTAATTCTGGGACACCCCTCGTATTTCATATTTCACTCAACACAAAAGATATCCTCTAAATATTCTTAGGGTTTTTATACTCTAAATTGCATACATATTAAGTTACAAGTCGTACAACGTGTGTGATTTACCAAATAGTTGTCACAGGTATCTCATTGGGTGGCGAAGGGCTACATTTATTAATCTATGTTGTCCTAAGTTTGTTTTTCAAGCATACTGCATTTTAGATAACTTATGTTTTTGTTTTGTTGATTCTACAACAAACATATTCTGTAACCAATTTATATTCTAGTAAAATGTTATATATCATAAATAAATAATGCTTAAATATACTAGTACTCAAAATTTGCTAAGGATCACATTTTCTACAGTGCGTTACTTTTGTGTATTTACGAAATGTAAAAATTGATTAAAATGAATAAAATATAATTAGTTAGGAATTGCTTTTGATGCAAATAATAGCAATTGAAGTGTTCCTTGTCGTGTGCCTGCTTTCGGAAGAGTGTGCTGGACGCAAATCAACATTTTGGAGATTACATAGTGGAATAAAAACATTGCAAATCAGGAAATGGTTGGCTTGGGTGTTTAATACCGAGTATGGTGTCCGCGGGAATTAATTACGGCCTGGAATCGCATGCTGCTAAAAGAGCCTGCGACATTGTAATGAGGAAATCTTGGCCCATTCCTCTATGATTGCATGTCTTAGCTCCTGAACTATTGTGGATTGGACGTGGCGTGAAAAATGGCTTTCTGCATCATTTCCCAAGCATGCTCAATTGAATGTATATCCAAGGACCTCGTTGGCCAATCCATGCGGACTTTAGTTGCCTCCGCAAGATATCAGTTTGTGATGTGGACTCTGTGTGCACGGGCGTTGTCATCCAAAAGAATGAAATCAGGGCCGACTGTGCCAGTCTACGTGCATGCATGGATGTCTAAGATCTCACTGACGTACCTTACTGCCGTCAGTGTACCGTTTTCAATGATGTGTAGGTCTGTTTTCCCTTAATTATCGCCCACACCATGACTGAATCCCCGCCGTGTTCTGCAACGGCTGCTGGAGCTAAGCGTTCATTTTGGCTTCTCCAAATCTTAGCCCGTCTGTCGGAGAAGTCCACACAAAACCTTGACTCATCAGTGGTCCAATCATTAACTGTCCAGGTGACATGAGTATGCGCCCATTGCAAAAGCTCTTAAATATAAGGCGTTGCGTCAAAGGAATATGCATTACTGGCCTCCGTGACCTCAGCATCATGCAACCTGTTTCTTACAGTTTAATTCTAGAAGTCGATACTAAGTTCGTAGCGTTGGAGAACCGTTGGCGCCTGACCTAAATGGCAATAAATCGGTCATGGGCTTGAGTCGTTGAACGTTCCCGAACTCCGGCATGACCCTGCAAGACATATCCATTCATTTGGAATCGCTTCCACATCCTCGAGACAACGCTCTGAGATACCTAAAGGACATGAGAAACATGCCTTTGTGAAAGGTCAGCGTCAAACGTTCCAATACCCCTGTTTATCTAATGTACACTAAACGACGTCTAACTTGTCGATTTGCTAATTTCGAACATAGTTCAACAACGAGAGAAGTCTTGTTGCTTGTACACGTTTAAGTGAAAGCAAATGGCCATAAAACACAAATTTCCATGGATATGCTTTTCGACGTGCTTATAGTGCAAGGTGTGCATGACAAATCGATAACTTGGTAACTTAAGTACCCGATTATGAGGTCCCCGTACAAATGTATCGTAAGCGGAAATATGATTATACTATGACGATAATTGGACTGAAATACTAGTATGCTATGACAAAAAGGTGATCGTTAGCAAATTTTGAGGTGTATATAATCAGTGGCATGCCTCTAGATTCATGCTAATTTTTATGAATATTGTTAAGTGAAGAATAAAGACATTTTAAAGGGCAGTTACAACCAATGCCAATTACCAATAAGAGATCAAAATATGGAAAAAATAACCCGTAAGTTACTTGTACAAAGATAATAAAACATTGCAAATTCAGGCATTAGTCGCACGTAACATAAAAATTACCACTTGAATCTTCAATCTCTCTATTTTTCAAATAATTTTTTCTCAAGTTTATTTTATTTATTCTTTTTGGTAATATTTTAACTCATCTATAGACATGCAGGTAAATGTGATAAATTTGTTAAAGATTATGAATAAATATAGAAATTACCTTTATAGGCAAATAAAGATGATTTGACAAAATCAGGCCCTGAAACGAGAAGTAACCATTGGACAGTTTTGTCTTTTTTTGTTGCCTTGTTCGGTCTCATATTTATATACACACATTGCCTTTGACACAAAACATTATTAAGATTCTTTGTATAAAAGTACTTTTAATATCAAAGTCTGTTTAATAGCAAACACTTTAAAAATATTAATTGCATCTTAGTGTTTTTCTATAGAAATTTTATCATTACTGCCGGATCGCGAAAACCGAGAAAAAACTTAATAACGTTAGAATTAGTGGTGATATTTTTATTACATTTTCATGTTGTCAAGAAATATGACATATTCCTGACAAGACAATATGAAATACCTTATATACTGAATATACAATTTCGATGTCAAAACAATGGCCCAGTTGTTCAAAACTTTTGTTAGATATTAAACAAGGAAATCATAGTTAAATTAACAACAAATTGTTAAATTCTGTGTTAAATTTTGTTGTTAAGCAATTATGTTGTTTAAACATTGTTAACGTTAAAGTTGTGTTATTTTAACAAATTAACAAAAGTTGTTAAAGTTATATAATCAGTATTTAGATCAACTTTTAAATTCAGCATAAACAAACATAAATTTATTCCTGCCTGTGATTTATCTTCACTTAACAAATTAAGTTACCTCTTTCTACCGAATTTTGGATCAATAGAGCTGACAATAGTACTGCCAGTGTTAAACCATATATAGGGCTAATTACCAAAATCTGACACCACTGGTTCCGTACTGCTTTGTTCAAAAAACCCTCTACTTGGTTGGTTAATTATTGGGAGTTTTTTGTTTGTTTTGTCAGTTTAAATCTACACTTCTTTCACCTTATACTGGCTGTGCATTAAAGTATACTGCAATTTATACTATTTGTTTGTCACGAAGGTAATATACCGACATGTATAATTTATTGTTTGTATGTATGTCTTATATATTGTGTCGTTATATATTCCCTGTACGTTTGTCATTTTGTTATATCATATATGTATATGTCCTATATATAAATTTGTCCTATTCATCCCCAATATTTTTCTCATTTTCATTCATCCTTTTCATTCATTGCAACATGTAACACTTAATGGCATTCTATATAATGCATAACAACTAATTTTTTCTGGACGGGCCTCCTAACATCTACTCACCCGGATTGGAAGTCACGCATGCGCACATTGAATACACTTCCATTGGTTTGCGCCACGAAGTAGCTGTGTTTGCGTTTTCTTTCATCCTAGTAAATTGTTATTTGTTTCCGTGCCATTACAGGTAATTTTGGTTGTTATTTATTACTCGTAATGTATTCATTCAATTATTGAAATGACATGCGTGTTGCATTTTGTATTTCACATTGAATACACTTCCATTGGTTTGCGCCACGAAGTAGCTGTGTTTGCGTTTTCTTTCATCCTTAGTAAATTGTTTATTTGTTTCCGTGCCATTACAGGCCGAAACAGCCCCTCCTTTATTAGGAAAGAGGAACCCTACGACATTGGTGGCCAGTGTAGCTTTCCTTATTTTCACCAGAAGGGGACGTACGGAATTTTTGGGGACGATACAGTTTGATTTGCCATGTATGACGTCACGGGCTTCCATTTTCCACCAATCAGATTGGCCATGGTATTTTTAGCCATTTCCGGAACAACAGCAACCAACGTCTTCCCTCAGGAATGTTTATTGTAAACAAACATTGGAGAGGATTTGTATTGTGCACTATTTCGTCATTTATAATCATTTGAGCTCATAAACATTTTCATTACATGATCATGTCATACCTTTTCGTTTATTCAACATATTTGTCGTCAATCGAAAGGATTTAAATGTGATAACAACTGGGATTCAACCGTTTAACATTATACCGGATATATTCATCAGCTGTTCTTTGACATTGTTTACATTCTAAAGTGAAAGTGGAACTGAACTGTTTTCTTTCTTAAATTACTATTAACTTTCAGTGACATTTTTTTTAGTGGTAAACTTATTAGGTGTTAGGTTAATTTTGATTGTGTTGAATGTAGGTAAATATTTTATTGTGTAATGTTTTCTTAGAAACTGGAAATTATGTTATTTATAGTTTTTCAGGTTGTTGTATGTTTGTATGGTACTTGCAAGCACAGTCACAGACAGTAACAGTGGTTTGCATGGGATGCATGTAACTGCAAACACTTTTTCAATCATCTGTCATCAATCCATTCAACAGTTCTAACACTTTGGTATTGGTGAGGCTAATAAACAACTGTAACTAACATATTTTTTTCTCCCCTCCCAACTTACATACATGTATATACCTTTCAGATTCCTATATCATGAATTTGATATATATATAGCCTTTGGTGTCTGTGAAAGCTTACAAATAGTCATGAATAACTAGCCATGTGAAATGTATTGGCGGCATATATGTTGGTATTATTTATGTCTGTGTAGTGCCCTCTTTAAAAAAAAGAAAAAAAAGTATTTAATACAAATGAAATGGTATTAAATTAAATACTCCATTGCTATTTCTTTGTCTACATGTACTGCATATTGCTGAAATGTTGATATCTGGCATGGCTGCTTGTCCGTGTCTGTACATATGATTAAATTAGATGACCATAACCTGATCTATAAAGAAATAATTTTAAGACTTGGTACAGTGTGTGTGATCACCCTAAAATTTCCATAGTATTGATTTGTTGTGTGTTTATTTATATTTCGCGTTTATTAACTTATAGCCTTGAAGTGAGTTTCAAGTATATAAGTCGTGAAATAAATTTTTGTCAACTTGCATGCTGAAAGGTAACTATATACAAGTATTTTGAGAAGCAAACCAAGACGCGCTTTTGTCAGCTTTGATGCATCATGGGTATTTAATCTATAGTAAGTATAAAGTGCAATTTGAAATGGTGATTTGAAATAAAAGTTTGAAAAGACTTTGTTTGAAGTTTGTTTGTTTATATTTTCTGTATTTCAGAAAATTAGAAAACACTGGAAATATATCACTGCAGGGTATATTGCTAATGTTTTCTTACTTGAAATTAAATGAATATTTGTTTGTACATGAGAGTGATCTTTTCATATTGTGGTTAATTATTATGAATGGTGGTTGTTATAGCCATTTGCCACTTATTGATTAGAAAATACTGGTAGGAAACCCAGTTGATGTAAAGTTAGTTGTATGTATGGTTTGCATATCAACAAAAGTTACTGAATGTTGCTGCTGAATGAAAACTATGGTCTACTAGAGGTACCATTGACATTTAACGGAATTGTTAATAAATGGTCTTGATTGAATTACATAGTGTGCGACTTGCGTGACAAATATTGCAGTTAGTACTTGAATACATAATACAGTACTATTTTATGTTGATGTTTGGTGGTGCATGTATAGTGTACATTTAGGCCATTACAATTTCCCTGAATATTATGTGACACAATTTTATTTTCCAACTTAATGTGTTTGAAACTTAGTTAATGGTTATAGTTGATGGTTTGTGATTTACATATGATATCATTTATGTGTTCAAAAGTATGGTGTACCAGATGGACAATTTTATTTCCCGAATTTTATGTAACGCAATTTAATTTTTGTTTATTTGCGTTAAATACTTTGTTCCCTTTTTGCGCAAGTGAAATTACCTTTGCATTTTACACATTAAATATTTTGGTGAAATTTCTTTTGTAAAAGGTTCTTTGGATCTAGATTTATTTATTTTTGATCCATTCCATTTGTGTTGTATTTGATTTTGGAATTTTGTTGGTTTTCCCAATATGGCAACACCAAAGGGCAGAGATGAGGATGTAACTGGTTCTCCAGATTATAGGCAAGAGGACTTAGAATATTTTGCCAGGCAATTGCGAAAATCCGGATTGTATGAAGTAACAAGTACTCCGAAATCTTACGGACCTCGTAGACATAATTTTGATGGTTCTTATGTACCCTTACATGACAATACAAACGATACTTCTTAAACCGGAACAAGGCCTAAATTATTGCAACCTGGTGACTATGATCAACAGTCCAGTCATGCTAAAATACGCCAAGTACGCTTTTTGCCTACTCCTGGCCATTCTTTACTTACAAATCAAACTTTGAAAGGTAAGTTTGATTATATTCACCCACGTATTCCAGATTTACCAACATTTACTGGTGATGAGAAAGCTAAAACCAACTTATTTGAAGTTTGGAAGTATGATGTTCATTGTTTGATTGATGAACAGGTATATCCCATGCATATTATACGTGAAGCCATACGCAAATCTCTGAAAGGTACTGCTCGAGGGGTTTATTACATCTCGGAGAGGATACTTCTGTAGCGGATATACTTACTGAATTAGAAGGTGTTTATGGGAATGTTCAAACTTCTGAACGCCTTAAGGAGCAGTTTTATAGTGAACGTCAGAGAGAAGATGAAACCGTCGCTGATTATAGCATGAGATTAGAGCGACTATTGAGCAGATTACCCGGTCCAGTTAACAAGTCTGCAAGATCAGAAATGCTTCGCAGTTGATTATGGTCTGGTTTGCGAGATTTGGAATTGAAAAATGTGCCTCGTTTTCTTTATGAGAAAACTGATGACTATAATACATTTAGAAAGGAATTGAGGGCAATTGAAGAGGATCTTAAGCAATCAAGGCCATCTTCAAACCCTATCAAAAGTAAAACTGAATGTAAAATTCAACCTTCTCCAGGGGTTTCAAATTCTAAAGGAGAGAAAGCTGATGTAGTAGAAGCTAAACAATATGCCACCTCTGTTGAGAATAGGGTTTTGAAGCAACTAGAAACACTTACCAAACAGATGCAGAGTATGGAAGTAAAACTAAGTGAGATGGATGCTGAGATTAAAGGATTGAAGAGTGATAGAAGAGTAAGTTTTTATAACAATAGACCACGGTACAGAGATAGAGTAAAAGAAGCATCTGAAGAGCAGAAGCCTGAAAAACCTATTGAAAAGGTTACTTTAAACGACAAGCGACCTCCATCGTAGGGCAGATGGTAGGTCATGATAGTACTTGTGATGGCCCTAGTTCTTC